GGGCGGGGGCCAGCGCCCACCGACGCCGGGCCTGGGGGGGGGCCGGTGCGGGCTCCCAGGGCTTCCCCGGGCCAGCGACCGGCCACGGGGCTGGCAATCAACGCGCAAAGAAGTAATGCGCCGCGGCAAAACTGCAGCCGGGGAACCGGGGAGTTTGTGCGATGGAGCCGCTGCTGCGGGTCAGCGGGGAGGGAAATGAGCCCCGCAGCGGCATCATCCGCTCCCCGTCCTGCCGGGAGATCCCAGCCGCAGGCCGCCCTGCTTGCGCTGTTCTCCCCGCTCGCCGCTTACCAACAGCACCCCTGAAACTTCCCTGATCTCCGTGTCCGAAACTGGCCTCTCTCCCGGCCGCCGCTGGGCGCTGGCCAGCTGCTCTCCCGCCCCATACTTCAACCTCGTTGTTCTACACCACCACGGTAGTTTCCAAAAGGCAGCCTAAAAACAATAAATGTGAAAACGATGCGACTATATTGTCATTATTTCCACGTTCCCGCAACCATCCTTGCGTTATTAACTGGAAGATGGCGAATACAACTATAACGCCAACGCACTGCTTCGGGCCTTGGGGCGGATGCCTCCCCCCCGCCTCCCTACGGAAGAGGGGGTCTCCTCAGTGCGGTACTCAAAGATTTTGGTGAAATATGGGAGAAAGATGGGAGTACTCGCATAGAACTGGGATTCTGGGTTATACTGGGACCAAATCAGTTCTCAGCTAAATTAGTAATTGCGTGTATTTATTATTCATTATTCTCATAATTATTCATGATATAAGGATTCATTCTGTACATTACTGGGATCACGGAAAGAAAATTACTTTGCTTGGTTACTGGCAAAACAAACCTGACTGAAATGCTCGACTTGTGTTTGTCTCGGGTTACCTGTCAGCCAGTGGACTTTGGAACTAAGCAGAGTGTCATTCACTTGTGTAACTATTAATATCTGGAACACTTGATAAAATCTGTTCACACTTGCTTTTCTGTTTCCATTCCTTTCTATTACAAGTGAACATATTCAGTCAGCCGTGACTCCAGATGAATAGCCATTTTACACCTAGTAAACAAGTATATGAAGGTTACAGCAACTGGATGTAATTTTCTGTACAGAAGATTATACCGATGTTAATTCCTGTGTGAAGGAAACAAAAAGATCGGACTAAAATGGGAGAAGTGTGACATTTTGCCCAGCAGACCATTAAGGAAGACCACATCTCCCTTGAGCTACATTAGTTACGAGTGAGTTGTGGCTGTTCCAATAACGTTCTGTTAAACAGTTCATCCGTGGGTTTCTCAAAAGTTTGGAAGTTCTTTCTTTTGAATAAACTAAACAAGAAATAACTCATTAGTTATTTCTCCTGGTTTAGGGATTCATCTACACATGCTAGTGTATGTCTAAATGCAGTTCACTGTTAGTTTTCATCTTCTACTGCAATGAGAATTTTGTAACTTGCTCACAGGCCTTGATCTAACAAAGTCTTTACCTTGCCTCAATCTTCAGTAGTGCAGAGTTCAAACACAATGACAGCTCATGGTGAAACAAAATACACATCATCATCATAGTTATTAACAAACTATTAATTTTAATTCTGAGTAGCTAATACTCTCAATTAGCCACCTGGATTAAAATTACTAACAATTAAATCATGCAAATAAGTTGGATCATTTTTCCTCATGCTAACACTTTTGTCTCTATCCTTCTAATCCATAAAGGATACTTTGTCACCTGTTTATATATCTATCTGAGAAACACTGGAGTGGAAAAAACAGAAGGAAAAAAAAAAAGGGAACACATGCACAATCGTGCACTTTTAGCTTTAGGTGAGCGCCCTCTTGTGATACTTTAAAATAAAGAACAAGATGAATAGCTGCTCAGTATTTCTAAAGTAACAGCAACACGACACATAACAACCCAGATGCAGCACGACTACAGCGCCTAAGAAGCCGGACAATTCAATCTGGAAAGTTCTTTCCTGTTCAAAAGGACTCAGAAACTGTGTTGATTATAGTCTGAGCCAACAACTCAAACAGGTGTGTAAGATGACTCTGTCAGAACACCTGAAAGGTCCTGATCAGGCTAATTAAACCTACAGAAGCAGGTCGGTCACTATGTACTTTTCACATATTAATTAGCCGTTTGAGCTTAAAAGTGTAGAACAGAGGAATCAGATAAGACCTTCATAAACAAATTTAGTTGACCAGGTACAGGCTGGTTAAAACTAAACACTGGAACACACACACACTGTGTACTTCACGCACCTCTTCCATTTTTGCACGCTTCCTACTGGTTATTTTAGGAAGGCAAATGGCAATCCGCCAGGCCCCACGGCTGCCTGAGCGCAGAGGGCAGTGGAGGCAGCCAGGAGCTCAAGCGCCCTGAGGAGCCCCTGTGCTCAGGGTGGGCTTCCACTCGCCGAGTCTTCACCGGCAGTTCCCGGTAAAGGTGCAATGCCTGTCCCAGATTTCCTAGTGGCATGGCTGTATCTTCCCAAACAACGTGAAAAGAAAGCAAATTGGATCTCTCCCAGTGCTGCGTCTCTCTACCCAGCCCCGGCGGGTAGGCCGAGCCGCAGCGAGCGAGCGGGCTACCGCCGTTTGCCGTGGGCAGCCGCACAACCGCCTCCGCTCAGAGGGGCGCTGTGAGGAGCGAACGGCTCTTACCCCGACAGACGCCTGCAGGGGAGTTACGTGGCCGTTCTCAACAGCCTAATGCGACACTTCGGAGCTCAGGGAAAAAACAACCCAGGAACGGGTTCCTCACAGACAAGAAGTTTCTGGTGGGCTTCCCCCCCTGACGGCGGGAGGTCGCCGGCTGCCTGGGGAGCGCGGAACACG